ACACCCACCCCAGGTGCCCTCACACCCCCCAGGTGCCCTCACACCCACCCCAGGTGCCCTCACACCCACCCCAGGTGCCCTGACACCCACCCCAGGTGCCAGCCCCCGCAGGCTCGGGCGTTCAGGGCATACTCCAGCTCGAAGCGGCTGCGCAGGGCGGCCACGTGGCTGCGGCCGGGGCCACCACGGGCCACCAGGCAGTCCGAGGAGGACGAGGGAGACAGCGACCCGCTGCTGTTGCTGGAGGCTGGAGACATTAACTGCATTAAAAAAAAAAAAAAATGAAGGTACCGTTTTGGCACATTCACAAGCCCTTTCTCGCCTCTCCCGTTAGTTGCATTCCAGTTTTCCGTGGCTCTTCCAGCAGCTCCAAAGCCACCGCTGTTCTCAGCTGCTGCCACTGTCCCTGTCGCAGCTGCGGGCACCCACGCAGAGCTCCCGTCCTTACCTCAATATTGCACAGACACTCCTCCAGCTTGGTGACAACTTCTGAAAACTCTGGTCTCCCCTGTGAACACAAGAGGAAAAGCAGAGCTGAGTTAAATGGAAGGGGCAGATCTGACGTGGTTAGATTGGGGAAGGGAAGAGTCCCGGGCCCCTCATTCCCCTCTGAATTCCAGGCAGAGCTGTCAGTCAGGTTGGCGATCTCAAATCTGCAGCTTCAGAGCTACAACGTGAAGACGTGTGTGCTTGCAATTCATCTCCTTTTCTGTAACAGGTAGATTCGAGCTAATGCTGACTAGATCACAGGAATATTATCAATATCACAGAAACACTGTCAATACATCTCTGCTCTTCAGGCCGATTTTCTCTTTGCCCATGAACAGGACTTGAGGCACAGCACTGAGGAGCGGTGGACAAGCTCCTCCCTCCCTTGCCCATGAGAGCTGCACTGCATAAAACCAAACGTTTATTTCTTTACAGAGCTCAGCCCTAGGCCTTATGGCAAATTCTCTGGCTCTAATTAAAGATCACAAATCTTATTAGCCAATGAAAAAGGTTTCTCAGGAGATGCTGCTAATCTTCTCATCACCAGTTTGCCTTTGGAAACAACTGCTGTCAAAAGTTTCTGGGAGACAGATGCTCAAGTACCTCATAAACAGAAACAGGGACATGGCACATGGGAACTAGTTTTCAGCTGGGATGAGCTTTGAATGAAATTAAAGACAAATAAAAGGATACATTTTCTAATTTGGGGATATTTCATGGCCATCCAGCAAAACCCCTACAGGTATACTCCATTTTCTGCCTTTTTTTTTTTTTTTCTGTGGAGAATTTTGACCTGTGAACACTCGTTGAGCCCCAAAACTCACCATTTTTCCACAAAAAATGGTAGAAAAAAACTTTCAGTAAAGCAAAATAGAGCCTAATAAAGAACAGTAGCAAAAAAACACGAATAAAAATAATTTGCACAAGTTTTTGCTCAAAGTCCTGGCCAACCAGGAGCTGATTGAGCCATCAATTGTTTTATAGTTCTGTCCTGAAACTGTAAAACCCTGGCAAGATGAAGTGACATTGGAGTCACAGTGATGGGTAACAAACTGCACTGGGACTCTGAAAAGATATTTTCTCCTTGTAGGGGCTGAGTGGCTGTGGGAATGCTGACCAGACACGGACTGCACCCTTCTCACTGCTTGCTTAAGTCAGCACTTTACTATGACACCTCATTAATAAATTTAAAATGAATGTGTGCTACACACGGTCATTATCCAGGCCTTACAAAAATCTGAGAGCAGCAAGGAATTTTCTACTCATTCTGTAACAGCTCAAGTCATAATCTGCATTACGTGCTTAATTAAAGTTTTGTTGAAAGGCTAAACTTTAATTTACTTTCCTCAATTCACCAACTCTCCTGTAATTCCTGACATACCCCATTATCTGCCTGGGGGCTTTCTGCAGTGACCCTTCCCACAGAAATGTGATTTTGGGGGGGTCAGCCAGGGCGATGTGCCCATTGTCCCTCTGCTGGCTGCACTCACCTCGGGACAGGCGTTCCAGCCCCTCATCAGCAAGGCAGAGATGGGCTTGGGGATGGAGTAACCGATGGGGGGGCGGATGTGGTGATATGCCATGTCTGCTGCTGCTGCTGCTGCATGGGCCAGCAGAGACACGTGTCAGCAGCCAGGAACCAACCCAGGAACAGCCCTACCCA